TGATGATGATGATGATGATGATGATGATGATGATGATGATGATGATGATGATGACGCTGATGATGAGGTTGCTGATGATGCTGATGATGCTGGCCATGATCAGAAGCACATGGTGTTGATGATAACGATGATGATGAAGAATACTAATACCCAAACTTACAGTAGCACTAATACTAACCATGCCAAGAGTACTAGTACGAATAATACAAATATCAACACTATCCATAGTAATATGAGTACTGGTAATGTTACTAATGATATTAAAATAGTACTAATCGTACCACTAAAAGGAATACGAATAATAAGAACACGAATCTGAAGATGAGGAGGAGGACGAGAAGGAGGAGGAGGAGGAGCGCAGCAGGAGGACCCCCCTCACCATGGAGGTGGCGGTTGCGCTCAGAGGTCGAGCGCTTTGCCCCCCCATCAGCCCCCTCCTCAGCAGGCGTTGGCGAAAGGGGCGCTGCACGCGAACGGGGCGCAGAAGGCCCCCCCCCCGATCCCTGCCCAGAGGAACAGGAGGAGGAGGAGGAGGAGGAGGAGGTGGAAGAGGAGGAGGCGGAGGAGGAGGAGGAGGAGGAAGAGGAGGAGGAGGAGGAGGAGGAGCAGGAGGAAGAGGAGAAAGGAGGAGGAGGAGGATGAGGATGAGAAGACCTCGCGGTCGCCTATGTGTTCGCCGCATTGCTCTTCCTCATCGGCGTGCGCGTGGAACTGCAGTGAGCGTTCCGTGGGTGTGCGCAGTCTTCCTTTTCCTCCTCTTCTTTCTCCTCCTCCTCCTCGTCCTCTTCCTCCTCCTCCTCCTCCTCCTCTTTCGGTCGTTTGCTTGATCGGTAATTTTGCCTATTACAGTTTATGCTTTGCTTGTCGCAATTTCCTCCTCTACCTTCCGTTGCCGTTTGGCTTGGCGTCGTCGTTGGGGCCACCTAGCGGTATCGACCTTTTCGTTTCGGAGTCGACGATGCTCCCATCGACGACGATGGCATCGCTTAAATCGACTTCTGAGCGCAGTTCCACTGCCATCCTGCCCTTTCTGCTCCTCCCTCTTCCTGCGGATGCCATTTGCGGGCCAAAGTCGGTGACTTTGAAGTGCAGCCTATTACTTGACATGATGCAGCTCGCAAATGCTTGACGCATTCAGCCACGAAGTGTCCCACCCGGTTGGTCGCGGTCTTCCCCTTCCTCCTCCTCCTCCTCCTCCTCCTCCTCCCTGAGCCTCGGTGTGCCTCCACGGACGCGGTGGTTGCCTGGCCGCCATAGCAAGAGATGTTCTTGTGGCAGTGCACTCGGGAGGATCGCTGCACGGAGGTGCTCTGTCGTGGCGCTGTCCGCTCCTCCGTCTCCCTCCGAAGTTGCGCCGACAAGAACCGTCCTGCGTGCGGCGGTGTTCAGAGGGTGGCGGGTGGCCAGGTTTCGACAGACCGCCTCGCCGCGCCAGGAGGAAGGGGGTTCAAGGGCAGGGGGAGGAACGAGGAGTTTGTTTTTTTTACATACCTTTAGAGCGGGGCCTGCTGTCGTTCTCGGGGGCAAACTTTGGGCAGGGGTCTCGACGCGTCAGCTCGGGTGCACCTCTGCCCCGCGGAACCTCCTCGGAGCCCACGAACGTAGGCACAGCTGCGCGGTTGGCCGCCCCCCCCAGGGAATGGCGGGGGCTCGCCCGGGTCGCGTGCGCCTCCGCTCGGCTGCACCACCCAGCGGGGAGCCCAGCGGGGAGCCCGCTGGCGACGGTTGCGCAGTGGGCCGCCTTCCCAGGGAACCGCGAGGTCTCGTCTGGGCCAGCGTGCACCTCCGCCCCGCGGGACCCCTCGAGTGGCGCAGCTGGCAGCACCCCCCCCAAGGGGAGGCGCGACGCCTCTCTACCGGGATGGCGTGCGCCTTCCACCCTCCGCTGGGGCCTCGCAGAGGCTCACGAGAGTGGCGGCGGCTGCGCAGTTGGTGGCTCCCCAGGGAGCCGCGAGGTCTCCCTCTGAGTGCGTGTGCGCTCCGCTCCGCTGGACCACCCAGGCGCCCACGAACATGGCGACAGCTGCGTAGCTCGTACCCCGCCATGGGAGAGGCGATATGTGTGGCAATTCAGCTAGTAGGAGGCGGCAGGCAGACAAGACGCACGAGGCAAGAGGAATGATGATAAGAAGGAGGATGCGCTGCCTTATATTCTAAACGAGAACCCAGCACAAGAGACTTGGGAAGCACGAGCCAGTAGTATGAGGAGCAACTGATGTAGGTAGAGGAAGCGTACGAGAGGAGTAGAGACAGGGTTGCCGACAGAGGAAAAGGATGGGGAGGAAGATGGCCAGTATAAACCCAATATGCATCACCGATGTTGCAATCAACCCTCCCTCCAAGTTCCCTCTTCGTAGGTCCCTACACGGATTTAGTTTCATTGATGGGATGTTCCAGAACACCATTCGTGGGGCTTCAAGGCCTCGAATCAACTTTAGTGTTGCATCGTGACGATACGGAACCGTGTCAGAACACCACTCTTGGCATTTCAACACCGCGGACCAATTTGACTGTTTCGCCCTGACAGTCTTACATTGTAACAAAAAGCAGTTTCTGGGATGCCAGCCTTGAAATGAGATTCGAAACGGTTGTAGCATCTTGAGACGGAAATCCGCGGCGCCAAAGCGAGAGACACAACGTGAACGCGGGGCCGCCCTCCGTCCGTGAAGCTCGTGCACACCTCTTGAAGACGAGCGCGCTCGGCGCCGAGGCGAGAGCACCCTTCCGACAACGGCCCGCCCTCGATCCGTGGAGCGCCGACGAGCTTTCGGGGCGAGCGTGCGCTGCGCGAGCGGGGCGACGAGCGGGTCTTGAAAGCGACCCGCCCTCCGCCCGTGGAGTTGTGGCACGCTCTAGGCGCGAGGCTCTTGAGGGCGAGTGAGGACGTCTCGGGCGAAGTGCCCGGCCCGCCCGACCGACGCGTCTCGGAGTGCGACGGGGAGCAGCTCTTTAGGTTTTATAACGGAGAGGGGATGGAGGAGGAGGAGGAGGGTGAGAGGGAGGAGGATGAGGAAGGGGGGGGGGGGAGGGAAAATGGAGGAGGAAGGGCGGAGGAGGAGGAGGAGGAGGAAGAGAGGAGGAGGAGGAGGAGGATGAGGAGGAGGAGGAAAAGGAGTAGGTGGAGGAGGAGGAGGAGCAGGATGACGGGGATGGGGAGGAGGAAGAGGAGGGATGAGGAAGCGGAGGAGGAGTAGGAGGAGGAGGAGGATGATGAGGGAAAGGAGATGGATGAGGATGTGGATGAGGAGGAGCAGGAGAACGGGGATGGGGAGGAGGAGGAACAGGGATGAAGAAGAGGAGGAGGAGGAAGATGAGAAGGAGGAGGATGAGGAGGAGGAAAAGGAGGAAAAGGAGGAGGAGGAAAAGGAGGAGGGGGAGGAGGAGGAGGTGGAGGAGGACGGGGATGGGGATGAGGAAGAGAAGGGATGAGGAAGAGGAGGAGGAGGAGAAGGAGGAGGAGGAGGACGAGAAGGATGTGGAGGAGGAGGAAGGGGGTGAGTGGGAGGGGGAGGGGGACGCAGGACTCCAGACTAAGGACTCGGGACTCGAGACCCGCGAAATTGTATTACTGGAGCTTCTCTGCGGGCGGCAGAGGAGGACAGTGTGGCGGCAGTATGGGAACGGGGGTACACAGGAGGCAAGACGAGAAAGGCAGTCTTTGTGCGCGTCCTACCTGACGTCCTACCCCTCCTCCCATCCCTTACCATTGCGTAGAGCCCCTCTCTATGTGCATAGTTGGGTGTCGGAGAACACATGGGTCCCGAAAGGGTAAACGCCGCGCAGCATAGCACGGCATGGATGGCGTAGGAACATGGCAGTGCCTAGCATGGCGTAGCATGGTGTAGCGCTACGTAGGAAACACGGCGGGGAGACGATTGCCAATGCCGATCCGATACGTAGTATTGCCAGCGCTGCAGCGAGAACGCCATCTCATTGGACGGAGGCTCCATGGTAGCGAAGATAGCAAGCCAACCTTCTAGCGGGAGTTCCGTTCTGGAGTAGCAGCCCGCAGTGACCAGGGCTTGAGGGCACAGGAGCCACATGCAGATGCGAGAGCACGGCCTGCGCCTCGTCCTTCGGACGGAGGTTCCAGGGCAAGTCAGGAATGCGGTTCCAGAAATGAGACCAGCGTTTGGGCCAGAAAGCCAGTGTCAAGGACTGTCGCCTCAGACATGGAACCCGTGCTGCAGGCGAGACGTTGTTTGGAAGGGCAGGGAGCTCAGAGATGAGGCCAACGCTGTAGCGGGGGCATCATCTCGAAGGAGGGAAACAAAACGGACACGACTTCAACGCTGCAGCGGAAACATGCTTGATAAGGGCGAAACAACGGAACTGAGGCTAGCGCCGCAGCAGGAGCGTTGCGTTTCATGACCGAACATGCGGACTGAGGCCAACTCTGCGGCGAGAGCAAGATAGAGAAAGGACTAGGATTCGGAAGTGGGACCGTTGTTGCAGCGGGAATGCCATTTTGAGGACACGAGGACGCGAAAATGGAGTCACTGTTGCAGCGGGAGCAGGAGCATTATTTCGGAAGGACCGAACACGCTCGGAATAGAAGAACACAGGAAATATCATCTTTTGAAAGCCTGTGTGTTAAACAATGCACGGAGAGGGCGGGATACTCTCAACACGTCTTCGGGGGAGAGGAGAGTAGTATTCACATTGTGTCATTGTAGAGAGGAGAGGAGGAGATGATGAATGATGAGGAATGCAAGCAGAGGAATGGACGGAGGATTAGGATGGAAAGGACGAGGATGATTACGGGGAGCATGGTGAATGATGGTAAGTATGGTGGTGGTGGTGATGATGATGATGATGATGCTGATGATGATGATGATGATGATGATGATGATGATGATGATGACGATGATGAGTGGTGGTGGTGATGGTGATGGTTGTGGTGATGGTAATCTGTAATTGTGATCATGAGGAGGACGAGGAATGATCAAAGGATGAAGAGGCGCTCGCCTGTGAGACCCGCCGCGCTGCACCCGCGCGAGGTTGCTGGCGTTTTCGACCGGTACGTCTCCTTCGTCTCGCTTTCCCCGACCATGTTCTCGCTGAACATGCCAGCCGGGGCCGGCCAGAAAAGAGCGTCTGGCGGCGCAAGATCGCGGGGGCAGCCGCAAGGCCGAGGGGCTCTGGACCGTTCCTTGCCCCTGCGGACGCGCCTGGTCCTCTCCGGGCCTCCCGTGGGGCCTCCCGGGGCGCCTGGAGGCCTCCCCAGGGGCGCCGAGATCTCAGCGGGCGAGGAGCGGTGTAACATTCACTCCTTTGCCGTCGGGGACGCCTGTCCCAGGGCGGCTGGAAAGTCTGCACCCCCCCGGTGGTGGGACGTGTTATCTCAGGACGTTCCTCGCCCGCTGGAGATGCGAGGCAGTGCTTCTTCCAGGCGGGGCCCCCGCCAGGCCCGACGCGCTCCCGGGGGCTGGCCTCGGCATCCCCGAGAGGCCGCTTTTGAGGGCCTCGTGGCCCAGCGAGGGCCCCCGAAGGGCGGAGAACGGCGAGAAACTGCCGCGCTGATTCTTTCAACGCGCTGGAGCCCCCTCACCTCCTGGAGGCTGCCGCGGACCTCCAGAGACCTCCGGGGAGCCTCCGGCGGCGACCGCGACGGCGGCGATGCTGACGACGTTTGACGTGATCGGTGCGATCGAAGTGGGTACGGAAATCACGGCGACGAAGGCCGACAGCAGTTCCTGCCCATTTTCGAGCAGGAGTCGCTGTCGCTGTCGCCGCGGACGACGTTGTCCACTCGAGGCAAGAAGTCGCCTGCCCAGCAGCGGCCGCTGTCGGATTTGGACAATATTTGCTGTTGGGCGTTATGCCCACTTCTTTTTCTTTCGGCACCGCCTGAAGTGCCTCTGGCGCTGGCAGCTGGGTGCGGCTACCAGGTCGGATGCGAAGTCTCCTGCACTCGATACAGTGGAGACCCGTGCCAAGGAAACACCCCGCTTGCCTCCAGGGTGCCCTCCCTGAGCTTCTTGGGCTTCGATGGCACTGCTGTGGAAATCCTGACGCTCCCACACCAAATTTCAATGGACGTCCTAGGGTTAAGTCGGGCGTGTCCCTCTACAGGAGGAATATTCAAGAATAGTAAAACAATTGCCTGGGGACGATTCCCTGATCATTTTTTTAATTATCTTTGGAACTATGTTTGAACCTTTTTGGAATATTTCTGGAATCTTTCTGACTCTTCGTCCAAGATTCCCCTGTAGGAGGACACGCCCGACCTAATCCTGGGGTTCCAGGCTTGGGCTCCTCGTGGAAGGTCTCTCGCAGGCGGCAGGCGGTCAATCGTCGCCCACACCCCTACGGCGTGGGCAATCTCTGCCCTGGGCCGCACAGGCGGTCTGGCATCATAATGCAACGGTCGCTGTCGTCGTCCAGTCCGTCACGGCGTGTGCAATCTCTGCCCCGGGGCCCACGGACGGTTTGGTATTACATTTTCTGATCTAGCCGCCAGTGCTCTGGCCTCATACTTTCGTGCGGTCGAGCTTGGATTTGGTGATCGACGGTGCGTGCGATGGAGAACAAGCTTGCGTTGTCGTCGACGACGACGACCGACCAGGCGTAGAGGCTCTTGGGCGTTTATGGGGGCAGTCTGGGGCGTCTTTGGGCACCCCCGTGGGCTCTGCGAGGCTCCTGGGGGGCCAGCAGTTGCCTTGCCCTTGCCGGTGGGACCTCCCCCCCTGATCGACGGGGACGAGCCCAGAGGAGAGACGCGACGATCGTGGCTTGTTCCAGCACTCGCTCTCGCAGTACCAGGCCGCTCGTCAGGAGTTCGACTCAGCGGCACCGTAACGGGTACTCACTAACGGGTATTTTGGAAAGTTTCCGAAACTTGCCACTTTAGGGCCTCTTTCTGGCGTTGCAGCATTGCCCACATCGGGGAGGGTTGGGTTCGCTGGGTCACTGGCCAAAGTACCCGTCAGTGGAGTCCCCGTTACAGGTCGGATTTGGGCAAATAGGTCCTTTGCAAAGGGGGCCTCGAACATGTACGCAATAGTTCGTGCAATCGTTCGTGCGGGATGCGCACGCCTTGCAAAATCAGCACGTGGCCGCCACGCGCCATGTGTCACAGGAGGAACTATTGCATTTGGTTCTTGTGACTCCTTTACGACAGGCCCCCTTTGCCCGTCACCAAAAAGGGGCGCTGATCGACTTCACGCAAGGCCGCGGTCGCACGGCGAACCGGGCCGACCTGGGGCTGCCCGGGCGGAGGCGGCGTGGAGGGTTTCTCCTAAGGGCTCAGGCGACCCGTCCTCCTCCTCCTCCTCCTCCTCCTCCTCCTCCTCCTCCTCCTCCTCCTCCTCCTCCTCCTCCTCCTCTCCCTCCCCCTCCTCCTCCTCCTCCTCCTCCTCTTCCTCCTCCTCCTCCTCCTCCTCCTCCTCCTCCTCCTCCTCCTCCTCTCCTCCCCCTCCTCCTCCCCCCTCCTCTTTCTCTTTCCACCTCCTCCTCCTTCTTCTCCTCCTCCTCCTCCTCCTCCTCCTCCTCCCTCCTCCCCTCTCCTCCTCCCTCCTCCTCCTCCTCCTCCTCCTCCTCTCCTCCTCCTCCTCCTCCTCCTCCGTCTCCTCCTCCTCCTGCTCCTCCTCCTCCTCCTCCTCGGGTCGCCTACGGCCCCGGGGGAAACCGTGCAGTCGGACGGGGCCAGGACTAGGAAAACTTAGTTGTAGAGCGTTCTGGGGCGCCCTCAGCGCGTTCTTTGAGAAGGCCACGGCGCCCGAGGCATCCCCCAGAGCCGCCGGATCTCAGAGATTCTCGATGTGTCCTCACCTGATTTTATCCTCGTCCTGGCTTTGTCTCAAAATACCTCGAGGAAGGGGGGGGAGACTGGGGGAGGGAGATTGGCGGAGGAATGAAGTGCGGGAGGTAGGTGCGGTAGGTTCGTGGTTCGTCGACGCGGCGGCGAAAAGAAGCGGGCGCTCAAGGTTGAACGCCGCCACTGGCCCGACGTCGGCCGATCTCGACCTGTCTGCGCTTCGGGAAGTCCTGGTCGTCCAAGCTCGAGCGATCCACGCGGTGTCAGCAATCAGCGCCGACGCCATCGCGACGCGGACCTGCAGCTGGGAGAGAAGGAGGAGCGGAGGCGGAGGTAGGAGGGCCCATCGATGGAGGCCGACCCCATGCCTGCAGCACGCCCGCGTGGCGTGCAGGCGGGGCTGCCGGCTCTCGCTGGCTCGCTCGCCGGGTGGACCGCCCGCCCAGGCCGGCCGCCTACTCCACCATCCACAGCCCCTCCATCGCAGACGAGAGGATGTACGCCTACATCGAGCGCATCGTGGACGGCCTGCTGTCCGCGCTGGTCACGATGAGGACCGGCGCGCGGCGGGGCCTCTCTCTTGCCCAGGCCTCCAGCCTCGGGCCCCGGGGCCGTCGAGGCTGGACCTGCCAGAGAGGGTCCGAGGAGAGGGGGTCGGAGTAGACCGCCGCATCGCCGATACGTCGCCGATGCGGCTCGATGTGCATCGAGATTTTTTTGCACGCCGACGTCACCGATGCATCGCCGACGACGCCGGTGCGTCGCCAATGCATGGGCGACGCATTGGCGATGCGGCGCGATGCTCCGACCCCGTCTGCTCGGAGCCCAGTTGGGAGGCCTCTATCGAAGTGGATCTGGGACAACAAGCCAGTCCGCCTCCTCCTCCCCCTCCCCCTCCTCCTCCTCCTCCTCCTCCTCCTCTTCCTCCTCCTTCATGCTCCTCCTGAGAAGGAGGAGGAGGAGGAGGAGGAGGAGGAGGAGGAGGAGGAGGAGGATGATGATGATGATGATGATGATGATGATGATGAGGAGGAGGAGGAGGAGGAGGAGGGAGGAGGAGGAGGAGGAAGAGGAGGAGGTGAGGGGGGAGGAGGAGGAGGAGGAGGAGGAGGAGGAGGAGGCGGAGGAGGAGGAGGAGGAGGAGGAGTGGCGCGAGACCAGGCTCAGGTCGAGGTCCCCTGCGTGCGCTCGCCCTGGTGGCAGGTCGGTGCGCGTGGCGCTCCCGGCTTCTGCCTGGCGAGGGACCGTTCCACGCTGTTTGTCGCGGGCTGGCGCTGTCTTTGCGGTGTGGTGGAGGGACAGAAGGGAACTTCGCAGACCAACACCAACATCGGCGGCGTGCCTCCACCGAGGGAAGAAGATCCCGGTCTCGGTGATGATGGTAGTATTCGGCTTCCAAGGTGGCCGAAGTATTACCACCACCACCGAAATCTAGGATCATCTTCCCTCTGTGGAGGCAACCCCCTGTGTTGGTGTTGGTGCCCATCTCCAGGCCTCCAATCCTGGGTTTCTGCGTGTGCTCGCCTGCGGCAGGTCGGTGCACGTGGCGCTCCCAGTTCCTGCCTGCCGAGGGGCCGCTCCACGCCGTTTGTCGCGGGATGGCGCTGGTGGAGGGACAGAAGGGCACTCTGGGTTGCTGAACAAGCGTGGGGGGCCCCCCCCCCGACGGGGGTCAGCCTCGCCTCGTCGTCGCGCCGCGAAGCGCCTCCGGCGCGCGGTGGCTGCCCGCGACGGGGGTCGATGTGGGGCTGTCGGCGGGGGTGACGCCCCCCCCCGACGCTTCTTAAGAGACTCGGGGAAGGGTTCGGGACCTCTCGAGCCCGCGGATGGGGAACATCGCATCGTCGGACGTCTGGGTGATGAGCCTCCAGCAGGAAGGCAGCCTGGACCTCTGGTGGCTCGGTTCCGTTCGAGTCGCTGGCCCCGGGCCTCCCCCCCCCTCTTCGGGGCTGCTCTCGACTCCAGCCTCGCTGTGGTGCCTGGGCCCTCGTTTTGACACCGCAGCGCCGTGCGTCCACTCTTCCTCCCCACTCCTCGTCTGCCCCTCCTCTCTCTCCTCATCTTCCTCCTCTTCTCTCCTCTACCACTCCTCGCTCCTCCTCTTCCTCCTCACTCCTCACTCCTCACGTACCCCTCCTCTCCGAATGTTCACTTCGGCGTGCCCGTCGCACGTTTCGTGACCCCCATCGGGAGCTCCGCCCGCGGCCCCAGCGACGGCGTCCACCTGCGCACCCCTCGCACCTCGGTCACCCCCCCCCTCGGGCAGCTCGGGGCCCGAGAGGGAGATCCACCGATGGCCCCCGGCGAGGGCGCTCGCGTGCGTTCCCCCCTTCGATTTCGGCACACCCCTCACGCGGATCGTGGCCCGACTGGGAGCTTCTCCTTCGGCCCCTTGGCAGACCCCTCACGCGTTGCCGTGCCCCTGCAGGGAGCTCCACCTGCTGCCCCAGGGACGGCGCGCCTGCGCGCGCCGCCCCCGCCAGTTGCTGGCGCACCCCTCGCACGTTCCTTGCCCCCGAAGGGAGCTTCACCCTCCTCCTCCTCCTCCTCCCTCCTCCTCCTCCTCCTTCCTCCTCCTTCCTCCTCCTCCTTCCTCCTCCTCCCCTCCTCCTCTCCTCCTCCCTCCTCCTCCTCCTCCTCCTCCTCCTCCTCCTCCTCCCCCTCCTCCTCCCCAGCCCGTTTCGGCACGTCCGTCACGCGCCTCGTGACCCGCAGGGAGATAGCGCGCGCGCGCCCCGGCCCTCTGCCCGCACCGCCTGGACCCCACGCCTCCCTGCGGCACGCGCGGAGCCCGCGCGTGTGCGGCGATGGCCTCGCCTGCGCCTTCCTGCTGCCCTGGGCACGAGGAGCAGGCCAGCCACAACTGGGGGAGCTGTGGCCCTTGCCCCCCTGGGGGACCCATCGATTTCGGCACCCCTCTCGAGAGATCGTCGATGCGATGGCTTCCCCCAGGGGGGCAAGGACCACAGCTCCCCCAGTGATGGCTGGTCGGAGCCCTGGAGAGTCCGAGGACGGTCGGCCGTGGCCCCCCCCGACGCGTCGATCAGCGACGAGTCGATCAGCGAGGGGGCCGTTCTCGGCTCGCGAGAGGGCATCGCGGCCGTCCTTTTTGCGGGTCCGGGTCCGTCGGTTTCGGTCCCAGGCCGTTTTCACTGAAGGGTGGTTTTTCGAGAGGGAGGTTTGTCCACCGCCGAGACACGGCCGAAGATGACTTTGAGACAGCCCTCGAGCCTGCCAAGACTCGGCGGCGAGCGAGGGGGGGGGGGGAATTGGAAGGAGAAGGCCTTCTCAGAAGGCAGCGTGACTTCCCAGAAGCCCTCGCGCCTTCGAGAGATTCTCCGCGTCTTCGGGAAGGGCTCAGAAGGCCAGGGGACTTCCGAGCCTTCTGAGAAGGCACGCCCCTTCTCACTTCCCCCCTGGGCGCGCCGCCTAAAGATGGCCCCAGATGGCCTTTGGACGCCCACCCCCCGAGTTCTGGATCTGCGCGGCCTTTGGACCGATCGGTGATTGCGCAGCAGCGCAGTGTAGCCGCTGTTGGTGCTCGCATCGCCGCCGCCGTCTCGGTGGTGGTGGTGGTGGTGGTGGTGGTGACCGTCGTCGAATTCGTCCTGTGCCGCCAGCGTCCCTGCCGCCGTCGCCGCCTCCGCCGTCGTTGTCTTAGCCAGCGCGGTCGTCGTCGTCGTCGTCGTCGTCGTCGTCGTCGTCGTCGTCGTCGTCGTCGTCGTCGTCGTCGTCGTACGTCGTCGTCGTCGTCGTCGTCGTCGTCGTCGTCGTCGTCGTACGTCGTACGTCGTACGTCGTACGTCGTACGTCGCCGTCGTCGTCGTCGTCGTCGTCGTCGTCGACGTCGTCGTCGTCGTCGTCGTCGGTTTCGCTGTCGTCGTTTTCGTCGTCGTCGTGTTCGCCGCCGCCGCCGCCGCCGTCGTCGTCGTCGTCGTCGTTTTCGCTGGCGTCGTCGTCGTCGTCGGCGTCGTCGTCGTGTTCGCCGCCGCCGCCGCCGTCGCCGTCGTCGTCGTCGTCGTCGTCGTCGTCGTCGTCGTCGCCGTCGTTTTCGCTGGCGTCGTCGTCGTCTTCGTCGTCGCCGTCGTCGTCGGCGTCGCCGCCGCCGCCGTCGCCGTCGTCGTTGTCGTCTCGGTCGTCGTCGTCGTCGTCGTCTTCGTCGTTGTCGTTGTTCACATTGCGCCGCCCCGCCGCCGCCGTGTCGCGTCGTCGTTTCGTCCGTGGTCGTGGTCGTCGTCGTCGTCGTCGTCGTCGTCGTCGGTTTCGTCGTCGTTCATGTCGTCAATGCCGCCGCCGCCGCCGCCGCCGACGCCGCCGCCGTCGTCGTCGTCGTCGTCGTCGTCGTCGTCGTCGTCGTCGTCGTCGTCGTCGTCGTTCGTCGTGGTGTTGTCGTGGTCGTCGTGGTCGCTGCCCCGCCGCCGCCGCCGCCGCCGACGTCGTCGTCGTCGTCGTCGTCGTCGTCGTCGTCGTCGTCGTCGTCGTCGTCGTCGTCGTCGCCGTCGTCTCGTCGTCGTCGTCGTGTCGTCGCTGCCGCCGTCGCCGTCGCCGCCGCCGCTGTCGTACGTCGTACGTCGCCGTCGTCGTCGTCGTCGCGTCGGTCGGCGTCGTCGCCGCGCCCCGCCGCCGCCGCCGCCGCCGCCGCCGCCGCCGTCGTCGTCGTCGTCGTCGTCGTCGTCGTCGTCGTCGTCGTCGTCGTCGTCGTCGTCGTCGCCGCAGCCCCCGCCGCCGCCGCCGCCGTCGTCGCCGCCGCGGCCGCCGTCGCCGTCGTCGTCGCCGTCGTCGTCGTCGTCGTCGTCGTCGGTGTCGTCGTTGTTGTCGTCGTCGTCGTCTCATCGCCGCCGCCGCTGCCGCCGCTGCCGCCGCTGTCGTCGTCGTTGTCGTCGTCGTCGTCGTCGTCGTCGCGGTGGTGGTGGTGGTGGTCGTCCTGCCGCCGCCGTCGGGTTCACCGTCGCGATCCCCGGCGTCCAGGTGCTCCGAGCCTTTTCGACGCGTTGGGCACCCGGACCTCTCGACCACCCGTTTTTTTGTTTTCCTATTTTTTGTTCCTGACGGTCCCGAGGCCCGAAGCCAGTCCCCTGCAGAGAGGCCAAGAGTTGTGGCAAACCAACCGCCTAGATTTCTGGGGTCGCTGGATGTCTGGGGTCCTCGTCGCCGTCGCCCCATCTTCTGGAGCCCAGTCTTCTGGAGCCCAGTCTTCTTCCGTCGTCGTCGCCGTCGCTGATTCTTCTGGAGCCTTCCCCCTGCGAGGACGCTGCCGATCATCCGGTGCCCGCCCAACGAGGCCCGGGCCAGCGAGCGGTACCCTGTCTCTGGAACGCGCAGGAGTGGGGCCCCCCAGTAACAGATCTCCAGGCCGCGTGGAGGGCCCGACCGCCAGGATCCTTTTTTGAGGACCCGTGCCATTCATGCTCTGCGGTGATGGAGGCGAAAGAGCGAAATGGGAGGGAGGGAGGGAGGGAGGGAGGGGGAGGAGGAGGAGGAGGAGGAGGAGGAGGAGGAGGAGGAGGTGGAGGAGGGGGAGGAGGAAGAGGAGGAGGTGGAGGAGGAGAAGGAGGAGGGCAGCGGATCATGCTGGGCGCGTGGCCGCCGCGGCAGGTGGCGGAGATGGTCGCCAGGAGGCTCGACGAGAGGCTCAGGCCGCGCGGATGGGGGGAGGGCCGCCCGGCTGCTTTCGCTGCGCTGTGTTTGCTCCTCGGAGGGGCAGTTGCCCAGCCTCGAGTCCTCTAGTCCTCTGCTGGCCAGCGGATTCCTTGGGCACAGGGAGAGAGATGATGATGATGATGATGATGATGATGATGATGATGATGATGATGATGATGATGATGATGATGATGATGATGATGATGATGATGATGATGGTGGTGATGATGATGATGATGTTGATGATGATGAATGAATGATGTTCGATGATTGATGTTTATGATGTATGTTGATGATGATGATGTTGTTGATGTCATGTGTTGATGATGTTGATGATGATGATGATATGATGATTGATTGATGATGATGATGGATGATTGATGATGATGATTGATGATGATGATGATGATGATGTTGATGTTTTGATGGTTATGGTGATGGTGATGGTGATGGTGATGGTGATGGTGATGGTGATGGTGATGGTGATGGTGATGATGATGATGATGATGCTGATGATGATGATGATGATTATGATGATGCTGATGCTGGTGCTGCTCATGATGATGACGATGCCTGATGGTGATGGTGATGATGATGATGCTGATGATGATGACGATGATGATGATGATGGAGATGATGATGGAGATGATGATGATGATGATGATGATGACGATGACGATGATGATGATGATGATGATGATGATGATGATGCTGATGCTGCTGATGATGATGCTGATGATGATGACGATGACGATGACGATGATGACGATGCTTGGTGCTGGTGATGGTGTGATGATGTGGTATGTATGGTGATGATGATGGTGCTGTGATGATGATGATGATGATGATTGATTGTGTTGGTGATGTTGATGGTTGATGGTGAGGTATGATGTAATGATGGTGATGCTGATGATGATGATGATGTTTGATTATTATGATGATGCCGAGCTGATGATGTGATGATGATGACGATGGACGATGACGATGATGGCGATGTAGATGCTGGTAGATGGTGATGATGATGGTGATGATGATGATGATGATGATGCTGATGATGATGTGATGGACGACCGGACGATGATGATGATGAAGATGATGATGGTGATTGTGATGGGATGCTGCTGATGATGATGATGACGATGATGTCGATGATGATGATGATGATGATGATGATGATGGTGATGGTGATTATGATGGTGATGATGATGATGATGACGACGACGACGACGATGATGATGATGATGATGATGATGATGATCATGATGATTGCTGCTGCTGATGGTGATGGTGATGATGATGATGATGATGATGCTGATGATGATGATGACGATGATGATGGTGGTGGTGGGGGTTGTGGTGGTGGTGATACTTATGATGATGACGATGATGATGATGACGATGGTGATGATGATGATGATGATGATGACGATGACGATGACGATTAAGAAGATGATGATGATGATGCTGATGCTGATGCTGATGATGATGAATATTGAATATGATGATGCTGCTGATGATGATGACGATGCCTGATGGTGATGGTGATGATGATGATGATAATGATGATGATGATGATGATGATGATGATGTTGCTGCTAATGCTGATGATGACGATGATGATGGCGATGATGATGATGTTGATGATGATGATGCTGGTGATGATGATGAGGTTGATGGTGATGGTGACGGTAATGATGACGATGATTATGATGTTGACGATGACCATGATCATCATGATGATATTGAAGATGATGATGATGATGCTGATGATGATGATGAGTATGCTGATGATGATGATGATGATGAGGATGTTGCTGCTGCTGATTATGATGATGATGATAATGCTGGTGATGATGACGATGCTGGTGGTGGTGGTGGCGATGCTGATGATGGTGGATGATGAAGACGGAGGATGATGATAATCATCATCACGATGCTGGTGATGATGATGCTGATGATGATGATGGAGATGATGATATTGTTGCTGCTGATGATGATTGTGGTGGTTGTGGTGATGATGATGATGGATGATGATGGAAGGTGATGATGGAGGAGGTTGAGGCCGATGAGGATGATGATGATGTCGATAGTTATGCCGTTGATGATGATGACGGCGATGATGATGATGCTACAGTTGATGATGCTAATATTCATGATGATGATCAGATGATGATGATGATGATGATGATGGTGATGATGATAATGATAACGATGACCACGACGATTATGATGATGCTGATGACGGTGATGATGATGATGCTGAGTACGATGATGTTGATGATGATGGTGATGCTGCTGCTGATGATGATGATGGTGATGATGATGATGCTGTTGATGATGGTACCCATGCTGCTACTGGTGATGATGATGCTGATGATGCTGAGGATTATTCTCCAAAGAGGCTTGCCCTATAGCAGTCCTATCTCATCATAAGTAAATGGTGTTTAGGACCCCTCCCGCTTTTTGCAATGCCCCCCTTCCCTTTTTGCAATGGCCCCACCCCCTTGTTTCCAATTACACTTGCTTGCTTGCTCTTGCGTGCTTGCTGTTGCTTGCCCTTGACTTACTTGCACTTGATCGCTGGCTCTTGCTTGCTTGTTATTGCTCGCTTGCGCTCTTGCTTGCTTCCGCTTGCTTGCTTCCGCTTGCTTGCTTGCGCTTGCTTGCTTGCGCTTGCTTGATTTTGCTCCTCCCGTTCTCCTCCCGTCCTGCTCCCGTCCTCCTTTCGTCCTCCTCCCATCCTCCTCTCGTCCTCCTCCTGTCCTCTTATCTATTTGGAGTCAACGTTGGCTGGCTGATATGAGAAAGAGCGCGTTCTGTGGTCGCTTGGAGGGGGGGGACTTTGGAACCAGACCCTCTACCCTGGATGGAGGGGGGGGGGAGGGTTCGACCCCCCCCCCCTCCGTGGCGGAGGGGGGGGCGGTTCGAACCTCCCCCCCTCTTCCCCTACTTCTCCTCTCTCCCTCTCCCTGGTGGGTTGTGCTGCTGGTAGTAGTGGTGGTGGTTGTGGCGGTGGTGGTGGTGGTGGTGGTGGTGGTGTGGTAGATTGTGGTGGTGGTGGTGGTAGTGGTGGTGGTAGTGGCGGTGGGTTGTTGTATTGGTGGTGGTGGTGGTGAGCTGTTGTGGTGATGGTGGTGGCGGTGGCTGTTTTGGTGGTGGTTGTGGTGGTTTGGTGGTGGTGGTGGGTTGAGGTGGTGATGGTGGTGGTCGTGGTGGTGGCGGTGGTGGTTGTGGTGGCGTGGTGGTTTGTGGTTGTGGTGGTGGTGGTGGTGGGCTGTGGTGTTTGTGGTGGTCATGGTGCTGCTGGTAGTGGTGCTGGTGGTGGTCGTGGGTGGTGGGTGGTGGGTGGTGGGTGGTGGTGGTGGTTGTGGTGGTGGTGGTGGTGTGGTGGTTGTGGTGGTGGTGTTGGTGGTGGGTTGTGGTGATGGTGGTGGTGGTGGCGGTGGTGGTGATGGTGGAGGTAATGGTGTGGTGGTTTGTGGTGGTGGTGGTGGTAGTTGTGGTGGGTTGTGGTGGGTTGTGTTGGTGGTGGCGTTTTTGCTGGTGGTGGTGGTGGTGAGGTGGTTTGTGGTGGTGGTGGTTGTGGTGATGGTGGGTTGTGGTGGTTGTGGTGGTGGTGGTGGTGACAGTGGTGGTGGTGGTGGTGGTGGTGGTGGTGGTATGGTGGTCTGTGGTGGTGGTGGTGGTGGTGGTTGTGGTGGTTGTGGTGGTGTGGCCTTCGGCTCGTCCCGCCACTGTGTTTTGGCTTTGGGTCAGAGCTCTACTGGATGCCTCTTGAGGTCTCGTCAGAAGTGTCTCGGGGGCGGCTGAGGAGCATGCGGGGGCTCGATATGGCGATTGGTGTGTTCCCTCTGCGGCCTCTGGGCCCTCTCTGGTCATCGTCGCTGCGTCCCCGCCGTCGACGCTGCTGGCCGCCGCCAGCGCCGGCGCCGGCGCCGGCACGGGGGGGGGTTTGATGGGACCTCGCCATCCCTGGGGGGGGGGTTCGGGAGGGAGCGGGGTTAGGGGGAGGGGAGTCCCCCTGGTTCTGATCGACGGCGCCGAGTGTGGGGTGGGGGGCCAACCCTCGGTTCGAAACGCGCTGCCGAATGTTCCCAAGGCAAGCGCCCGTGAAACGCGTTCTCTCTGATATGACGTTGATGATGATGATGGTGATGGTGATGATGATGCCGATGACGACGACGACGATGATGATGCTGATGCTGATGATGATGCCGATGATGCTGATGATGACGCTGATGAAGACGATGCTGGTGATAATGATGATGATGCTGATGCTGATGCCGATGTTGATGGTGATGCTGACGCTGATGTTGAGGAAATCATGATGATGATCGTGATGATGATGGTGATGATGATGACCTTGATGATGGTGATGGTGATGGTGATGGTGATGGTGATGATGTTGTGGTTGCTGATACTGGCGATGGTGGTGGAGGCCGTGGTGGTGCTCATAATGGTGATGACATTGATGCTGATGATGATGATGCTGGTGGTGGTGATGGTGATGGTAATGATGCTGATGATGCTGCTGATGATGCTGCTGGTGATGATGTTGATGATGCTGATGCTCCTGATGCTGTTGCTGCTGCTGATGATGCTGTTGATTATGTTGATGATGATGCTGTTGATGATGCTTCCGCTGCTGCTGATTATGATGCTGCTCATGATGGTGGTGATGGTGGTGTTTATGTTGCTGTTTATCATTATGATGATAAGGGTGGTGGTGGTGATGATGGTGGTGATGGTGATGATGATGATTTCAATGGTGATGCTGATGATGAGGAGTATGATGAACAACAGTGGCAGGATAGTGAGAAAGAGGGCTATGATGCTCATGATCATGATGGTGGTGGTGGTGATGATGGTGATGATGATGATGATGTTGATGGTGATGGTGATGGTCATGTTGACACTGGTATTGGTATTTGTGATGATGGTGGTAGATGATGATGCTGGCGATGGTGGTGGTGGAGGTGGTGGTGGTGATGGTGGT